GTGGTATTTTGGTACTTTGTTCAACATATTGCAAAACTCTTTAGAAAGGGTTCTACAAATAAAATTGGATTTAAAAAAAAAAAAAAAAAAAAAAAAGGAGTCTTGCCTTTCCAGTGGTTACATAGTTCCTTTATGATTCTGAGTAATGTTAAAATATACACAACTGTCCTAGAGAAATGGAAAAAAAAAATTATTTTCATTTAAAAGATGTAGTATTTGTAGGTGCTGGATTTTATTGCACACATATTACTCCTTCCTATAGGTTTATTGTAGAACAATTAAGGTCTTCACCTTACAATATTATGCACCTTGAGGCGACTGTTGTTGTTATTATAAATAAAATAAAATTGAATTGAACTTTAATTTTATTACTGAGTGGGACCAAAAATATCTCATATAGAATCTCCAAAAGTTGATCCTGTTCATCTGGACGTAGCGTATTCTGGGAGAAACGTTTTGTCACTCATCCAAGTGACTTCTTCAGTCTCATATAGAATCACCACTCCCATTCATTAAAAAAATGCATAAACAAAAAGGTTTGCTCACACTTCCATTACCTGATATTACTGCGGCATTAACAGGATTAACACTGGTTTCTGCCACCAAAGCTCTGAACAACATTAGTGCTAATTTACATTTTGGATACAGAAAAGGAAAAATGCATTGACCTATATAGAAAAATGAATGGATATTCAGAGTTGAAATCATCCAACAGTACATAGTGTATATGTTTCCCAGTTTGCTTTTGCAGGTTTTTAAAATAATGACCAGGGCAAATATCTTCACTCCAATGGTTTAAAACCCTATCGTTGACACACGCACAGGCACATACATGCATACACAGAAGGCAGACGCCACAGTTGGAAGCATGTCAAACACCAGCTACTCTTGTTCTATGATTTAATTTTTCTGACAAAATCATTTGTTCCCCAGAATAAAGTAGAACACCCTTATGGCTTTTTATGTTTGTTAAAAATTCTTTCATGAATTTTTAACAAATGATTATTTCATAGAGTTCATCGGATCTGGGATTCTTCATATGTAAGCAGGCTTTATAAATAAAATCAATCTGATCAATATGGTTTTCATGTTCAGCAAATGCTAATTAAACGTAAAGTGATTGTTGCATGGCATAAATTTGTCGAAATTTGTCAACTATTAGGAGAAATATTATATGCCCCACTTCTGTGATCTTACTCAGTGGATACAAGAAACATACAAATGTGTCTTTATATTCATTTAGCGCCTGGGCTGTTGCCATAGTGACAGGGTGGTAATGTCAGTTGCATTTTAACTTGGTTCTTTTCACTGGGAAATAGCGATGACTGAACAACATGAACCTGTGATAGTCATGTATTTTACTTTTATGTGAACAACACCTTCACAGCGCTTGAGTAAATGAACAGTTACAGTGTTTAAAGAGCATCTGAACCACTTGTTAACAGCCTCGATTGCATCAAGTGCTCAAAGGAGATATTTCTGAACAACTTTAAACATGTTTGTTTGTCTCAGTAACCCAGGAAAGTAAAACTTCCCATAATTACTTTTACTTAGCATTATTATGAATGGGGCCTCAACATAAATTAATAATCCACAACTAAAATCCATATGATTTTAACTATTTCATTTGACAGTAGTGCTGCTGAATTCCTGTTGAGTTCAGATTTCAGTTTATTACAGTGCAAACTGTGAACTTCTTCTCCCCCTTGGCATATGAAGATGCAGTCTTGTGTAACTTTCACAATCAAAACCAGTTTTTTCCAGTTCATGAGGCGTTGCCAAGAAACCATCTGTCTGTGCATGCATGTCTTTGTATGTTGTGCTTGCAGTGTGCAAGCGCCAAGGTTTCCTAGCCTGTGAAAGCAGATAACTGGATTTTTCCTGTTCCTGCAGACAGTGTTACATAACACATAATGAATGAGGAGAAAGTGCATACAGCCATCCTTGCCTTTGCCTCACTCTACCCTTAGTTCTTTTTATCATAGAATACTATTGTCATAGTAGTTAAAGTGCTACTCTCTACCTTAAAAAAGTAACAAATATTTTAACAAAAAATTCTTCTGTTAGTGGGCTTGCCCAAATTTTAACATCATCAAACTCTCAAACACCCTTGAATAATACTATATGAATATAATATAGTGTTCCCAGTAAATCGCCACTGTCTAATAGTAGGTCTGGGGAGCCATAGCCCCCAGGACATTAAGCAAGCATGGAAGAGATCCAGGCCACAGACATCTAGTGGACCATGAAAGCCCAAGAAGGACCTCTGCAGGGGCAGTCACGCCATCCACCTAGAAAAGAGCTAAGGAGTGCCTTGGACGAGGGTGACCCAGCAGCCACGGTGCAGCCGGAGGGAGCTGGGTGTGAAGACCCCATCCCTCAATCCGCCCGCTGATATGTGGTGTAGATGGATGCTGTTCTAAAGTGCATTTAAAACAGAGGAGGGGCATGGTGGCACTGACCCTCTGCCAGATAACAGCTGGCCCCTTCCAAGAATTCTCAATGTCTACATGTATTTAAAATTCAGAGGTGGGCAACCCCGATGACACACCAACCAGGACCCAAGCCCCCAAAGCTCAATCAGAACCCCTGTCCGGAGGCGGAGCAGCCCCAGAACCCCAAGTCCGCCCCGGACCAACCCAGGAGCACCTAGCAGGCCGGTAACCTACGTCTAACTGCTGCTCAAGTGGTTCGATAAAAATTGCAAACAGTGAAGGGGAGAGTGGGCATCCCTGCCTGGTGCCCCTCAGGAGACAGAACCTGGAGGATGTATGGTCATTTGTTCTGACCCAAGCTGTTGGGGAATTATATCATATTTAAAACCAGTTTATGAAAGAGTTTCCCAAACCAAATTTGTGTAAAGTTGTAAATAAAAATTCCAGTTCACTCTGTCAAACGCTTTTTCTGCATCTAGAGACAATATTGTGGTTTCAATGTTTTTACTGCATGAATAGTCTATTAAAGTAAGTGATCTACATGTATTTGATGACTTTTATGAAACCAGTTTGATCAGGATATATTATGAGGGAGGTTTTCTTCTCTAATTTCTTTGAGAGAGCTTTGCAGATTATTTTCATGTCAATCTTGATAAGGGATATTGGACAATAGCTGGTGGGAAGAACAGAATCTTTGCCTGGTTTCAGCAGGAGACGTTGGCAGAATTCATATTTGTTGGTAGTTTGTTGGCCATTTTCTTATATTTCCTGTAACATTGTGTGGAACACTGCTGCCAGAATTCTTTGCAGAATTCTGCTGGAAATCCATCTGGACCTGCAGCCTTATAATTGAGCATACTTTCCAGGGCTTACTGGAGTTCACCTGATGTCAGCGGTGAATCCAGTGCTGTTTCTTGACTTAAAAATAAAATTTATGTTCGATTTTCTTTTTTCCATTCAGTAGTGTGCAAACAACTCAAGAGCTCATATTCACATAATTGTAACTGTAATGTAATTACTAAATTTAATACGTAATATGTTACTACGTTACTGAAGAATGTAATGTGTTTACAGTAACACATTGCTTTGGAATGTGTTACACTGTAGACAGGTCAAGCAGAGTGTGGCACTGGAAGTAACGACACAAACACTTGTGTGTGTGGGAGGGGTTTGGTAAGGAGAAGGAAAAAATATTTTTATATGTGTACAGCGAGGCTGGGGTCCTACAGAATTCAGTTAAATATGGTCGGGTGTGGAAAGAATGCTTCACAGGTTTCCACAGAAGAAGCATAGTTTAGGGACAAAGGGGAATACTCACCCATCACTGGATGTGAAGTCACTGAAAAACCTCATTTTGGTTCAAAATCACAAACTATTTGAAGCCATTTGCAATTATTTTGATTGGTCATTCTCTACCACGTGTTTGTTTTTATGTTCTGGTGATTATTAAATTAAAGAGTTGTGGCTCTCTCTCCATTCGTTTAGATAGGGGCTTCAAGATACCCCAGGATTTAATCCAAGATTGCATAGATATGAGACTTGCTGCTAGAAGGACTTTGTAAAAAAAACCTACACTTTTGACTCCTCCGCTGTGACAGATGCCACATT